GTTGGCCCTTCTTCCCCCTCACAGCCCGCCGCCACAGTGTCCACTCTGATCTGACCAGCAATGGCCTGGACAGTCCTGGTCGCCAGATGGTCAATCTTGGCCCAGAGAGCGAGGATGTCATGTCCTTGTTCCTCCATTGTCTTGAACACAACGGACAAACGGCGTAGACTGCCGTGGTGGTCCTATGGGAAGTACATTTGTGAGGCAGCGTGGTGGAATCAGGTTCTCGTCAATTTTTGGACATGTAGAGTTATTGGTATCATCTTAAAGCTTGTTCACTTGTCTTTATTTGGATGGAAAAATATCCATTTATCCTGAAGACAAGTCGAGATATTTGCGAAAGAAGGAGGTGGGGGGTCACCTGTTTTCAGAAGTAAAATGAGGGAGAAAATGGCCGCCAAAAATTAGTTATTTCCTTAGTTTAAGAGTTCCTGGTAACTGAAAATTTACATTTTTTGTGCCTGTTATCAACGTTTTTCAGAAAAATCCACACAGAAATGAGTTCTTTAATTGGCATTAAAATCAAAAATTTAATAACAATTCACAAACTGCGGAAAAATGCAAATTTCTTTACTTTGATTATTTTGACGAGAGCCTGATTCCACCACGCTGCTTCACATTTTGAGTTGTGGTTTCAAGTGTGAAATGTTGAATACTGTCTAAGTTGTAGTTTACGTTCTGATTTGATTTGTAGTTTGTTTTGGTGTTTTTTTTTTGGTTTTTAAAAGTTTTTTTTGGTAAGTATTTTACGGCGCTCGTAACTGCATTAGGTTGCGCCCGGGGCACACCTAACTTTTACAGTTGGTAGGAAATTTTGAATTTTGCCCGTGCGGCGGCCGAAGCCTACTCTTATCAATTTTAGACCACCAAGGGATCTTTAACTTGCGGAACTTCAATGGGATGTGTGCACAATATTCGAAACTGTCATTGCCACATACATTCCTTGTTCACCGCTTTTGGGACACTTTCATAATCAGTCGCAAACACTGATTATATAAACTTACAATTAAATAATTGATAGTCTACCTGAAAAGGATAAGGGGGACTAACTCTTAATGACCTTGTGGCTGCTGCTGGGAGCACTTATTTTTTCGTTCCGCTTTTAATCTCCCTATAATCGAGTCATGGCATGATTACGGCATCTGGCCCTTTCTGCAAAAGGCTTTTTTTTAAAGATAGCAAAATCTAAAACCAAAAATGGTAATACATTTAATGTAATATAATCATTTATGCTTTCTTTGCCTTCTGTTTGTGTATTCGAATCTTTAGCTAAAGTTACGTTTAATAACTCTTAAAATCAGTATATTCCCATCGCACGTTTAAATGTCATAATTTAGTTTTAGAATTAGATTATTCAATGAGAAAATTCTCGATTATTTTGGCGGTGAACATACAAACTGAATTCAGAGTTTGATTTCATTCACAACTCACTAATGATGCCTCGTATAAGAAGTTTTAAAATTATCAATATAATCCTATAATGGGAAATCCTTGCGTGTGTGGCCTCTTCTCTGTCTGGTTCTTTGTCTCACTTTGATCACCCTTCCAAACCAGTCAGCCTTCACCGCTAGTTGCATTTGAGTCTGCTTTTACAGGCGTGATGGCATATAATAAACAATATTACAGTCAAAAAGTCATTGTTAGAAAGGCAAAAAAAATGCAATTTGAGCCACTTTCCAAGCTCTGAGTATGCGCCTTTGTGAGCCCTTGAAAAGCCCAATAATTCTTTTAAACCACGATTTGTGGGTGGTTGGCGGGTGCTCTGGTGTGGTTTACTTCTTCTTTCCTATCAAACATCTATTGTCCTTATCTTCCCTTCCTCTTTTTATGTTTTGTTACTCTCTTGTAACACCTCTAATCTTCTGGCGCTCATATGACCTTATGCAGTTGCGAGCGCCGTAAAACCTCTACTAACAAACCACGATTTTGCTACGGGAAATTCATCAACTAACAACTAGATTCCTAACAATATATTTACGCATTACGATGCTACTGGATGGGGCCGGAGAGAAAAGAAGGATAGAACGTGACTTCAGGACTCTCTGCCCACTTGGCAGGGTCATTTCAAAGATAAATCAGAAACTCCCATCTTATGGTCACAATTTGTATCATTTAGGTGGCGGACTTCCAGCCAAAGTCACCTACACTGAAAGGGAAACAATGTTCCAACAAAAATACTGAGGTACTTAATAAAACATCTTCCCACTCAGGAATCGAACCCAGGTATTCGTAATAACCCTCACACTAAATCCACCTCTTTCATCACTCAGGAGAACTCACAGTGTTGAGAGGGGCGTCAAACCAGTACAATTACGCGAGAGAAAAAAGAAAAGCAGACAGTTTTAAAGACATTTTTTGGACGTATGTGGTGTGACTTGTAGGCTTGGCGTCTTGCACGACAAAGACGCAAGTTCGATTCCCATAAATGGTTATCACCATCATTCCTCTATAATTTCTTTCGGTTATCACCATCATTCCTCTATAACTTCTTTCCATCATTGACGAACAGGATGAAAACTCGTTGAGGACTTAAACTGTTTTGATGTAGATGTCAAAAATGCACGGATTTGATAACGAAATGTTCTTTTTGGTGAGTTCAAACGACAACTGAAACAATTTACAGGCTTCTCATTGGCTGAGAGTGCTACGTACAATAGCATGATGGTAATTTCACGGCGGTTATAATTTTTTTTTCAAATGCTTTACGCCCACCTGCCTGCATATTATGAATGTCCAAGGACAAATTCGGTCTATGACAGTTTTTATTGACTTCACCTAAAACATCAGGCGCCACAGAGTGTTAGTAGCATAAAACAGTAAACATTCAGAGTAATTCACAAAATGTTAGCCTCAATTCTATTGTAAAGAACAGATCTCAGATACTTAAAACACAATTTGGCTTTGTTCCTGATAAGGGTACCCATAGTGTTTTTATTCACCCTAACAATGTCAATGGAAAGATGCAATGAAGCACAGAAAGGTAATATTATTTATGCTTCGTTGATTATGGAAAGGCTTTTGATAAAGTTTGGCCTACTTACTACTGAGCAATCAAACATTTTCGAAACTCTAAACAAAGTTGTATTATGATCATACGGCGCATTAGAACTTTGCAATGGAACTAAAACATTACTCTAAAAATTGAGAGGGAGTACAAGGAACACATTGAAAATTAAATAGAAAAATTTCGAGCCAAGATGAAGCAGTTTGAGACTGAAAGAGCTCCAGTGAAAAATACTGTCACTGAAGTAAAGGTACAACAGGATGTTTACATTCTAGATGTAAAAGAAAGAGATAAGAAATGTTTATGTTGCCTGATTGGAAAGACAAAATAATAGAAAAGGCAGAAAGGTACAGAGGGAGGGATATTAAAATTTGATGTTTTATGGCGCGTCGCAGGAAAGGTGGGAGGAGTCGTGAGGACGTAGAGCTAAGGTGGCGCGGAATTGCTGGATAAAATGTGGGAGAAGAAGTGGGGAGAAAGACTTCAGCAGGTCCACAGAGGGAGGCCTAATACGGGTGGCCATTGAGGGATCGGTTCGGGTGGTTTGCTAGCCAGATTGAGAACACAAAGCGGATATCGTGGCACAAGCCGATCGCGCCGACTCATCGTCTAAAAAACAAACGCGTATGTCTCCAGGCGATGGGTTATGCGATCGACTCGACCCAACCCGGTCCGACCAGATCCCGTCCGCAATGGGCACCCCGTATTAGTAGAAACAGGATAACCGTGCCAGGCCTATGATCGCCCAATTTCAGTTTTCTGATGGCAAGTCAAATTCTTTGTGTAGGGAACTAAAAAGAAACTGATGGAGTATGGGGTGAAGGTTGCTGGTTACCTCACACAGCAGCAGCTGACAGAACTGAGGGAACTCAGGGCTAACAAAAAGCGTGTTATGGGGCTCTCGTCGTCTAGAGGTTAAAGTGTTCGCCTTTCATTCAATAGGTCCCCGTGTTCGAATACGGATAGCGACGGAACATTTTCTTCTCTAAAATGTTCTCCCTTCATCTCCTTTCATGGTCTCTATCAATGTTTTGTCGTCTGCTTTCGTCTCAACTTTTTGCCCCCACCCCCTCACCTTCTTTGCCCCCTCTTCTGGGCTCTTGATTCTTTCTGCAGTCTTTCTACAGCTACTGCTTGGCTACTTTCCATTGCTATCTTTCAGCCACATCCCTGATCTTATGGTAGGAAAGATCTACACCTAACTTTCTCGGACAAGAGCGAAAAGTCTCGGAGCAAGTTGCGTACGTTAAAGATCCCTGGTGGTTTTTTATCGGCCGCAACACAGGCAAAATTCAAACGTCTCCCTCAACAGTACAGACACACACTCCCGCACAGAAATGTCTAACCTGTCACGTGACTGCGCAAAGATCGACCAACAAAAACAGCAAGAGCCCCACCTAAACCATGCTAACGTTTGGCAGAATGAACATCGTACTTCGGAAAGGAAGAGAGCAATTCTGTTCTGTTTGCACTGCACGAATACATCTCAGAGCATGTCAAAATGTTTTATGAAGTACAAAAACCGAACAAAATCGTAGTTGGACAATTTCTGTGATGCCATCTACATTCCAGCGCATTATTTTATAAAACATTGTTCAAGTGTTAAGGTAGGCTCTCTTCTCTCTTGTTGTCCCTTTTCTGGTTCGGCGGTGTCCTTATTCACTTGAAGTTGTTGAAGGCTGACCCCGCTGTCTCTTTGCAGCCACGCCATCGTCCCCCCCCCCCCCCCCAGGGTCGCCTAACCACCACTCCCTGACTGACTGCGGGTGACCATCTGTTGACGTTGCTCACGACGAGAGTGGGGTCGGCGCAGCTGGTAGTTGTCTCCCCCCAGACTTTTATTTACAAACAAATCGTAAAGTTGTCCTATGCTTCCCCTACCTCTCGCATGAATTATCGCCAGTATACAATAATGAAACTTTACAAGGTATACCGTCTCTTGTGAAGACTGTTTTTAAAGATACGGGTGATGTTTTAGAAAAAAATGAATGTACCCAAAGAAGGTCATGTGACGGATCCTCTATACATAATTATATTATGGAAAGCAGTTAGTTAGCTTCTGTAGAGAAAATTCATTATGCCTAGCGAATGGTGGAACACGGGAAAACTGTGTCACTAGCATTGCAAACAAAAAGAAAAAATATATAATTGTTCATAACGTCGTTGTGATTAAGGGTACGTTTGAGACCTCTAGCTTTCCTGCCTATCAAATATCATGCTCAAGCCGGGATCAAACCATTTTCCACAGACGACACAAATAAGATTGAACTCAGTGGGCTGTGGCGGCTCAACGTGAAAGAAACTATCTATGAGAAGAACTTACATAGAAAGACGTGAAATACTATTAAATAAAAAGCATAGTAAACATGTTTCTACCTAACTATTGAAGTCTCAATGATGTCCACTCTGTCTATAATGTTTTGCAACAATGCACGTAACTGTCTGCGGTAGAAATACAAACCAATATGCTGAAGACAGAAGAGCATAGTAAACATTTTCAACCACTGCAGGGGGATAACGAATATGAAAGGCTAAAAAGAACCAAATATCTCCACCGCTACTATTCTGACAGAGCAAATAGTTAAATTGATATGGATAAATTCTTTGAAGCTAAGAACTTTAAGGGGCATGTGTATTATAAAAAAGAAATACTGATATCCCAAAAGCAGAGAGTCTCAATGAAGACATTGCTGAAAAACGATTAAGATAATGTGAACAAGAGATTAATAAAGTGATTCGTGTTTATGAATGGCTTAGAGTGGATAGGGCCACACCAGATCAATTTTATTCTTATTTTTAAGACTTGTAAAATGCCTAATTTGTGAATCAGCAGAGGATCTATTACAGATCCAAGCTAACGATGAACTAGCTTCAACAAATGGTGTTTTGAATACAAGTGTATACGTGTATGGTAGTGAAATGACAATTGTTAGGGTTCAAAGTGTTTTTGAGGAAACCGGTGAAAGGAAAAGCTGGTAGATGTGATGGAACTGGTCCTGGATTTTATTTCAATGTCCTTCTTCTTTTGATAACATTTCTCTGCTTGTTGTTTAGTATAGTTTTAAATATAGAAAACCCCAGAAATCTGGTGTCAGGCACTAATTCACCCTCTTCTCAAGAAAGACAGTCCTTCAAATGCTAAAAAAACAAACAAACAAAAAAAAACACTACAAGGGTATTGCACTTCTGAATACTATATCCAAGATAATGTCTAAAAGATTGCATTCACGACAGGCGGAATGGGCCGCGCAGACTAAAGAAATATCAGAACCTCAAACAAGGTTTCTGAAAAGTTTTAGCCTCGACAACCATATTTTCCCCCAGCAATCCAAACTTCCAAAGTAACTTTTGACAAAAAACGTGGGCGCTTTTACGTTTCCTTTTTTGTTGAATTTTCTAAAGCGTATTTTGCCCCCCCC